CCGCCTCCGTTCACCGCACTGGAGGGCGGGGCCGCCCCAGCTGGACAGCGGGTCGGTGTCCCTCCAGCCTGTCCCCTTGGCTCAGGGTCTGGTTAGGGGCAGGGCGTGGTAGGCAGGGCTTTCAGGTGTCCACGTGCCAGGCCTTCTAAGGGGCCTGAGCTCACGCTGGTAGACTGACACGTGGCCAGTCTCCATGGGGTTGCAGAGTGTCTGTCTAGGGCGTCCCTCAAGAGACCCCAGACTTGAAGCAAGGGCATTTGTCTCCCAAGGTGGGCAGCCACCCTGAACCCTTGTCCTCTGGCCTCCAGCAACTGGCCCACCCACCAGAGTTGGACGACGGGGAGGAAGGTGCAGAGCCAACACGTACGACAAAGTATAAAAGCCCTGTATTCTCAACTGGCCATAGGTCTGGGTTCCGACAGCAATGACAAGAGGGGTCTGCTGGTGGGAGTGAAGGGCCCTGGCGGTCCACTAGCCCCGCTCCGAAGGCACGTCGTTCCAGGGGTGGGACCAGATGAGGACTGGGCCCTGCCAGTCAGCGTTTTGACCTCCTCGCTCCTGGCAGGGACACCAGAGCTCCAGCTCGGAGTGGGTAGATGGGAAGAGGTGGCACCGACTGCTGACGGTCACAGCTGGTCAGCTGTCCGAGCCGCGCCCGTCACTTGTGGGGGCTCAGCGCCCGCAGGGGCACCCCTTGCACGTAAGCCAGCACTGCGTTTTGCAGGAAGCCGGCTCTCTGGGCCTCCTCTTCGCGGATGCGCACGATCTCCGCCTCTCTGAGCCGCAGCTTCTCCCGCAGGGACGCGTTCTCGCTCTCTCTGTCCAACAGCGCCTCCCGGTGGTCACTGGAGATCACTGCGGGCAGGGAGACGCATGAGGGGCAGCTGGCTTGGCTCACCCCACTCCCAACGGCCGATGGGAGGCCCTCTCACCTTTCAGCTGGCGCTCCAGGGCAGCCACCTTCTCCTTCAGTCCCTCCTGGGCAGCTAGCTCAGCCTGCAGGCGCCCCGTTTGTTCCTGCAGTTCCACTCGCACCCGGTTCACCTCCACTGCCTTCTCCTGGTCCTTGTCGCTCAGCTCCTGCCAGCAGAGGGGCATGGGGGTGGCTGAGGCCACTGGAGCTGCCCGAGGTGGGCACAGCCAGGGCAGTGGCGACCCTACCTGCTGCAGGCCCTGGATGCGCCGCCGGAGGCTGTCCACTTCCAGGCTTTGCTGGTTGGCCAGGGCCTGGGCCTGGGTCACCACCTGCTTCTGCTGCAGGCAGGCACTCTGGGCCTCATCTCGTGCCTGTGCCAGCAGCCGCAGCTTCTCTTCTGCGTGGGCCAGGCGCTGTTGCTGAGGCAGGAGGAGCCGGTCATCACCTGTGGGTCTTGGCCCTCACAGGGTTCTCTGAGTTTACTAGATACCTGGCCACTCCCGGGCTCACCTGCACTGTCCTGCCTGTGCTCTCGGGCCCTGCCTGCCTGAGCTGGCCTCCTAGTGGACTTTATCACCAGTCCTCTCTTTGGCCACAGGCTTGAGAGTCACACCAGTACTGGCACAGGGTTAAGCCCACCTGATCACAGACACCGCACTGGGGACGCAGGGGGACAGGGGACGAGTGTCCAATCTCACATGCTTCCCCACCTGACTGGATAAGCAACTTCAGTAACAACCCCCCGCAGAGCCCAGACACATGCTCACGACAGGCCCTGGCCGCCTGTAGACCTGGGGACCCCTGGCACCTGAAGCACCCACCTCCTCCAGGCGGACCTGGGTCTTGGCCTTGAGAAGCTCCTCCTCCATCTGCCCGCGCTCGGCCAGTGCAACTGCCTTCACTCGGCTCAGTTCCTGTACCACAATCACCACAGCCACCACTGGACTGTGCTGTTCACAGCCCAGGTTGTCCCCCTGTACCCGGGGTCCCCCATCTGTCCACACTCCAGCCACTGGTTGGATTTCACCTTACTCTCCCCTGTACAGTCGCCTTCCCTGGGGCAGTGCCTGAGGCCATCTAAGTCCCTCTGGCCTTGGTGATATTGTAGGAGCCCTGTTCCCCTGGCAGGCAGGCACACCCACCTCCTCCAGGGTCAGCCGGGCAGCCTCCAGCCTCTGCACTCGCTCCTGCAGAGCCCGCTCACTCTCTTCCACATGGCGGGTCACGTGTTCCACCTGCAGCGCCGAGGGAGTCAGAGGATGAGAGGCTTCCCCTGGTCCACAGGGGCCTCAGGGAGAGGGCTGCCTCACCAGATGAGCATGCAAGACAGAGGGTATGGCCTGGGCACCTTTAGAACATACGGCAGGGTGGACACAGCTAAGCACCTCATCTGCATCCTGGCCTAACTCCAGAGGCCTGCAGGCCAGAGTCCCACTCACGCCCCTGCCAGGGATGCTGGCTTGCCATCTGCCCAGAGCTCACCCCAGTGCCCATGGTGGGTGGAGTGTGGGCCTGGGGCCCAGGTGCAGGCATCCTAGGTGGTCTGGGGGCAGAGGAGGTATGGGCAGGGAAGCAGGCACCTCTCTGAGGCGAAGCTGCTCAGCGTCCTCCAGGCTCTGCCTGAACCTCCTCTTCTCTGAGTCCAGACGCTCTGCAGACAGAAGCAGGGCCAGTGAGACACGCGAAGGCCCACCCAGACCCCTGCCTCCAGCCCTGGGGCCCCTGCCTGCCCTCTGCATGGGCTGCCCGCAGCCTCAGCTCTGCGGTGGTGCTGGCCAGCTCCTGCTTGGCCTGGAACAGCTGCTCCTGCTGAGACTTCGCCCTCCGCTCCAGCTCGGTCACCTGGGACACAGTGTCATTTGGGGAGCTGAAGCCTTATCCCTGACTGGCCTTCCGCACCCAGCACCTCGGGGCTTCCTACCCCAAGGTACCTGGGACCCCACATGCTCAGCCTCACCCCGGGGCACCCCAAACCCCACCTGCTTGCCTGGCCACCCTGTGCACACCTGGTTCTGCAGCAACAGTCTGTTCTCCTGAGCAGCAGACAGGTCCCGAAGGAGCTTGGCCTCCCGCTCAGAGGCTTCCTGGAGGGCACGGGGTGAGGAGCTCCAGGTCACCTGGCCCCGCCCCAGCCCTGCCGGCTCACCCCCTGCCACTCACCTGTTGCTCTAGCCTGCGCTCCTCAGATTGCTTCTGGGACAGACTCAGCCGTTCCTGCTCTGCGGTGGCCAGCAGCTCCCCCAAGGCTTGGGTCTTCTGCTGTGACAGGGCCAAGGCCGCCTCTGTCATCTGCAGCCTATGGAGCAAGGGGCGGGGTAGCGGGGAAACAGCTATCCCCCACGAGGGCGCCCCATTTTGGGTCTCAGCAAGCTCCAGGTGCAGTGCGGGCTCCCCGCATCTTCACTGGGACTCCCCCTCGGCATGTCCCACAGGGAGCCCACCCAAAAGCCCTCGCAGAGCACCCGGCTCTGCACCAGCTCCTCTGCCCTGGCACGCCCCTTACTTGGCTTTGAGAGCATTGATGACCGACTGCCTCTCATTTAGGGCATCCTGCAGTTGGCCCAGGCGGGCTGCTGACCTCCTATGGGGAGAGCGCAGTTCCTCTAGAATCCCAACCCTGAAGCCCTACGCGTTCACCCGGCCTGACCGGGAAGCAACCTATGGCCAGCTTCCAAGAGGCCCCAGTCTTGGGGTCCCATGCCGGAACCAGTTTCTAAGACTGAGCCCCGCCCCCTGGCCTCGGAGCCCCGCCCCCAGACAGAAGTCCTGCCCCCGCCACCCACCTACTGCTCAGGGCCATCTCTTCCCGTTGCTTGTCAATGGTCTCCATCAGGTCCAGAAACTGCAGGCAGAGACAGCGGAGCCTGTCGGGGTGCACAAACCCCTGCCAGCTCCCGTGCAGAGCCAGAAAGGCCAATGGCTATCCGTGCCCCGGGGACGCATCCCAGCCCTGGGGCCCCAGGTAGGGCGCACCTGCTTGGACTTCTCCTCCTGCAAGCTGCGCACCTCCTTGGTAAGTGCGAGGCGGCGCGCCTGGCTCTCCCGGACGGTTGCCTGGCGGTCCTGGTTGTGATCCATGGCCTGCTCTGTCCGAGGAGGGCGTGTTACCCGCAGATAGAGGGCATTTAGTGTCAGGGAAGCCAAAGAATGGAGCCCCACTGGGGCCTGGCCTGACTACGTGACCAAGGACCAGGATCACCTGCTCAGTACCGTCTAGGGATGAACGGCTGGGGGCGACTCTGGAGGGAGGCCTCCGGGGAGGTGGGGAGATGGCCTTTGCTAGCACAGCTTCCCCCTCGTATTTCCAGGCCGCCCCACTTCTCGGGTGAGTCCTCGGTTCTCAGCCGAGCTGCAGCCGCGTCATTCCCTCTCCCGGCCTGAGAGCCACGTACCCACAGCTCTGAGGACGTCGCTGGGGATGTTGTTGCCGGCCAACTCCAGCCTCCACAGGGTTTTGTTACTGGGTAAACAGCTCACCAGGGCCCGTCCCCCCAGGAGACCGATGTTGTTCCAGCGCAGGTCTGCAAGGAGACTAAGCATCATGGGCACGAAGACCAGATAGGTGACGGACAGGACACTGCTGGGATGGTGGACGGAGCAGGTGCCAACCCGCAGGAGCCAAGGCCAGGGCCCTCTCTAACCCCTCCCACCTCACTCTCACTTCCAAGAGAAGTCACCAGGCAGAGCAGAGACAGGCAGCGGTCCTGCCCCCGGGCCTGGCCACCCAGGGGCTCCAGCTGGCCTCACCCAGCTGCTGCAAGCTGCAGTTGGTCTTCAGCGCCAGGGCCAGCTCTTCGGCACCCTTGTGGTTGACTTGGTTGTTACGGAGGTCCAGCTCCCGCAGGGCAGTATTGGCACCCAGGCCGAAGCAGAAGCTGGAGAAGGCTTCCTCCCACGTGCCCAGGTTGTTCCACTCGAGGGTCAGGCTGCAGGAGGGTGGCCGCGAACGTGAGGCCTGAAATGCACGCTGCCGCATCTCCTGGGCCCAGGCTGGAGGAGGGTGGGCTTGGAGGAGGGAGTGTCATAAACCCTCTGGACCGCTTGCCCAACCTGGGCTGAGGAAGGTGGTTAGGGAGCCTGGGCAGGCCTCACCTCTGAATGGCCTTGTTCTGTCGCAGGAGTCTCCCCAGAGCCTCCGCTCCCATGGCACCGAGATTGTTGCCCTAGGACATGGGAAGCAGGCCAGTCACCTGCTGCCCTAGCCCGGGTCTCCTCTCTGAGACCTGGTCCCCTGACTCGTATTGGCCAGGGACTTCTTGGGGCCGGTGAATTAGGGTGTGAACTCCTGGAACCGATGTCCCCACCCTTGGACACACTCACTGCTGAGCGTGGGTATACAGGCGGCACTTACAGATGGGACCTCTGGTCAGCGTCCAGCCTTAAGGTCCACTTCTATCCTAGCCTCAGGGGCACCCTATCCTCCCCGATCCTGGCTTTGGGGCCTATCTCACCTTGAGGTCCAGGAGCCGCACAGCAGAGTTGGAGCAAAGCCCCTGGAGCAGCAGCTTGACCCCTGAGGGAGGACGCACTTGGTGCCTGGCCCGTCCAGACCCCCAGCCCCGCTCCCCTGTGACGGAAGGAATTCCCTCTACCCCCAGGAAGGAAGCTGCTGCGTTAGACTGCAGCATCGGGCACACAGCGACACTCCAAGTGGAGCAATCTAGGAAGGAGAGGCTGGCACCGGGGCCCACCTTCCTCGCTCAGCATACAGTCTCTCAGCACCAGCTCGCTGAACAGCGTCTGGGTGGGCAGCAGCCGGCCCAGCGCCCCGCAGGTGTCGGTGGTCAGGGTCTGCGTGGCCAGGTCCAGCCGGCTCCTGCGCGGCTCCTGCAGCTGCTGCAGCACGCCCTCCTGGGGCTCGGCGCCGCGCTCCTGGCACAGCTGGCTGTAGGCACGCCGGAACTCTTCCATGCCCGGGGGCTCGGGGAGCAGAGGCCGGCAGGCCGGGACATGGGGGACCCCCTTTTCCCTACGGTCCCCCGCCAGGTCGGTGAGGGCCTTGCAGGTCGGGTGCGTGATGCTGCCCCGTTAGGCACGGGGATGGGGAAGGTTCAAGTGGAGCCACTTCTCAGTGTTAGGAGACCGGGGTGCAAGGCGCCCACCGGGTCGAGGTAGGGGAGATGGTTGGGGTGGGGACAGCTGCCAGGCCGCTGGTTGATCAGCCAGCGCGCTCAGGGCTGGGGCCTCGCCACCGGGGCTTCGGTTCGCGCCCCCTGCTCTGTGCCCCACAGCAGCAGTCCCGGGCAGCCCTCGCGGGCAGCCGGCCACCTCGGCTCGCTCCCAGCCGCGACCTCCGCGGATGCCTGGGCGCCTTAGTATCCAGGAAGAGCGGGGAGCGCCGGGAAGGGGCTGGTGAGAACTACAACTCCCAGAGGGCGTCGCATGGAGGCGGGGCTCTCAGTGGACCAATGAAAAGCAGCATACCGGGGGCTCTTCAAGATCATTGGCTGTGGCGTAAGGGCAAGCGCGCCAGGAAGGCGCGCTACAACCTCATTGGCTAAAAGAGGGGCTATAGATGGTCGCTCTCCGGCCTTGTTGGCGGGGGGTGCGGCTCGGGCTCTGGTCATGGAGGGCACCGGGACCGGCTTTCGGAAGGTAAGGGGGCAGCAGAAGGAGACAGCGGATCCGGGCGGAGGGGTTGGGGGGCTTGGAGCGGGGCGCCGGCCTGTCGAGAAGAGATGCGGTGGGTTGGGGCCGGCGCGGGGAGGGGGTCGGGGTCGGTACGGGAAAGCTGGGGGCGGCGCGGGGCCGGGGGCGGCGGATTGGGGGGCCGGCACTGTCTGCCTGCGGGATCTTTCAACCTGGTGGTTGCCTAAGTCTCCGCGACCCTGTGAAGGGATCGGGACCCCAGCCTCCCCTGTGCCATCCTCACCATCTCTGATAAACGAGCCATTGTTACCATCATCGTGTTGATCCAGCTCCTTGAGGGGCTTCCTCAGTTTCTGACCCTCCGTCTTTCCAAGCCTGATGTCCAGGACTGACCCCTCCTGGAAACATGCCCTGACACGGATGGTGACGTTTCACCATCCCTGCCTCCATGAGATGTTCAGTGCTCTTTTCCAACCACCACAGCTCAAAGGCATCACTTCTCCAGCCATCCTTATTCACTGTCCAACTTCCAGATGCAGAGCAGGTAGTGGGAAAAATCATGGCGTGGCTTAGGCACACCTTAGTCTTTAACCTGCCATCACTGCTCTTTGGGACTTTGGAGAGGTCTCTGACAGCACCCTTTACCAGTGCTGTATGTCTCCTGCTCCAGACTGCTGGAGCCACAAGTGTTGATGAAATCGTTGGTAACGCCAGTCTTTACTCCATCTGTCCTGAAGTTGCCTGTAGGTCCACAGGTGAGAGTTTTTGTTGTTCTGATGTTGAGCTGTCATCTCTATTGAAGGCTGTGGTCTTTGATCTTATGCAAAGTGCTTCAGGGCCTCACTTTCGGCAAGCAAGGTTGTGCCATTTGTTTAACACAGGTTACTGATTGATGAGTCCGCCAATCTTGATGCCACATTCTTCCTCAAAAATCCAGCTTGACAAATGACAACATCTGCCGCCTAGTCCTGTTCCCCCCCTCCCCCCGTTGTTTTACTGTTACCTTTCAGTCCTGGTCACGAGCATGGAGCCTGGGCCTGCCTGGCCCTACCCTGTGCCCTTGACAGGTTTACCCAGCTGGTGCTCACACGTCCACAACCTTAGCTACTCACAGTATCGCCAGCTTATCACTGGGGAAACAGGCAAGCCACACAGAAGGCTAGGAACAAACCAGGCCATTTGATCCCAGGCTTTGTTCTGGACCCCTGCCCCTCGTCTGCTGCCCAGGGGGATGTGTGGATGTATGTGCATGTGCACGTGTGTGCCCTAAATCTGAAGGCACCTGTGCACCCTCTATGCATGCTGGGAGGACTGTGAATCACCTCCATGGCTTTCCTCCAAGGCGAGGCCTGTGTTCCCCTCCTTTCCCCTATTAATACTGTCATTGCAGGGCAGAGGAAAAACTCTAGGCCTATTAGCCACTGGAACTGAGGATCCCACCAGTAGCTGGCCAGGGTGCTGTGAACCCTGGGTTATTCAGGGCAAGACCAGCAGACGTAAGCTCCATGTGAGTGCCTGGGACTGAAAGGCCAGATACAGGAGCACTGAGCCCCCTGCCCTTTCCTACACACCCTCTTTCCACCCATGACAGAAAGCCCTAGGCAATTCTTGCTTTCCTCATCCTCAGATGAGGCTGTACCCAGGCACTGAAGGGGTTAATGAAGTGCTGGGCCTCCAGGCAGGGCAAGCCTGTCACCTGTGAACAGAGATGGTGCCAGGGCTCTGCCAAGAACTGTGGCTGTCAATGGGCAAGTACCAACAGTCCTTGGGGCATCTGTGAGCTTAGGAACCCTCACGGTCTTCACAGTCACCTGCGGTGCATCTGGGAGCTGGACATGACCAAGGATGACAGGAGCATTGATGCCTCTGAGCTGTGGTGTTGGAGAAGAGTACTGGAACATCCCATGGACAGCCAAGAGAACCCACACATACATCTTGGAGAAAGGGCAGCCAGAGTGCTCCTTGGAGGCAAGGAGGGAGAAGCTACGCCTTTCATACTTTGGACCCTCAATGAGATCTGGACTGACACATGACTTCAGCAGTGGGCTCTAGTGTGTCAGATGACGATGGCACAGGACAGGGCAGGGTCCAGGTAGGCTGCTCACAGGGTCGCTAGAAGCCACTCCATGGCTGATCCTGTATCCCAGAGCAGGCAGCAGGGGGCGCTGAGGGCACAGGTGGTGGACATTGTGAAAGGCTTCCCTGGTGGAGGATGGGGACGCCAGCTCCTGACCAATGCTGGCCAGCATGGGTTCTTAGCCCCACACACCAGGCCTGTCCCCTCTGGCTGTTCGACACCAGCAGTGAGGGCTCCAGCGGACTTCCAGGTCCCCACAGGACACTTGCTCTGTGCATCTGATACTTTGCTGAGGGCTCCAGGTCTCCTGCCTAGGGGACCTCTTAGGGTTATGCTGCTGTAAAGGTCACCAGCACATTGACTCTTCATAAATTTCTCACCCTTGCAAATGTCTTCCTTAACTCCAGTCACCTGCTTGCCCATCACCTGGCACCTCACAGCCAACATGTTCCTAAACCAACCTTGCATTCCTTGGCCCTCAAAGCACCTGTGCTGCCTGGGGGACCTCAGCGGGGCATGTCCCACATCAGAGGACTCCACCACCTCTGCCTCTCTTGGTCAGCTGTCCACCACACAGCAGTCACCCTCTGAAGCATCAACTGGAGCTGCTTCTCCCGCCCTGCAGGCTCCCCCAGCTGTAGCCACACTCACCTGTACCCAGGTGGTCCTCCTGTGTGCCCCTGGGGCAGCTGTGGAACCTGGAGCAGGTGGGCATCGCTAGGCTGCCCCTACGTCTTAACAGGCATCTCAGCCTCACCTACACAGCACCCGGGAGAAACCCATCAACGCAGCTCCCTCCACCAGCTGCGTCCTGCTCTGGGGAATCCCCAGCCAGTGGGGTGCAGTCTGGGAGCTTCGCTTCAGGAGCTGAGCACTGGTTCTCCCACCAGGAGCTGGTGAACAAGCTGCTGCACCTGCACTTCAGGGATCCCAAGACCAGAGGTGACTGGCCAGGGGACACCAGGGACCAGCACACTGTGCGCAGGACAGACCCAGCATCTCAGCCAGAGCCTGGGAGGATGGGCAGGGCCCTGCGTCAGGGCAGTGGGGGGGTGGCTGGTCCTGCCTGACGCCCTACTCTCACTCCCCAGTCAGTGCGGACGCCCAACAGCTCATGGCTGAGATGCTGAGAATTTTCGTGGTGGGTGAGTGTGACACAAGGCTCCCTGGACCCACGCCTGTAGTGTCCCCTCAGCGTCCCAAGCTGCCAGGGCGCCCTGGAGGGGCTTTGGGGTTTTCACGGACTCAGGTTATCTCTTTCATGTCAGAGGCAGCTGTCCGTGGGGTCCGGCAGTCCCAGGCCGAGGACGTGACCCGAGTGGAGGTGGACCAGCTGGAGAAGGTGCTCCCCCAGCTGGTATGAGGATGCCTGCTCTTCTGGGTTGACCTGTGGGAGCATGTGCTGGGGTGGGGGTCCTCACGCTGTAGAGACCTGAGCACTTCTCTTGCTTCCCAGCTCCTGGACTTCTAGAAAGCTCTGAAGCACTGGCAGCTGCTGCCCCAAGTCACAACCGAACTGACAGGACCCAGCTCCAAGCCCAGAGTGCCACCCGGATCAGTCTGGGAGCACACGCCCCTGGACAGGCTCCAAATCCTCTGCCTTCCCAACTGTGGATGTGGAAGAGCCCCAGGGCAGGGTGGGGATGGGCACCAGAGGACACAGACTTCACAGTCTTGCCATGTCCCTCAAGAGGCTTCCTGCCCAATAAAGCTGTTTTCACAAAGCGTGTCCCCTGCGCAATGTCACTGGTTGTTGGTCACCATGGTCTGTGTGCAGGCCCTCTGAACACGCCCCACCCCTCCCTGGGACAGACATAACCCACAAGTGATGGACACCAGGGGCAAGCCATTGGTTTCTAGGCAAGGATCAGGATGAGGCAGGGCACAGAGGCCCCAGGACAAGCTGCCTGGTTCCCCACCCCATCCTGGACATTAGCACGTGGCAGTCATGAAAATCAGGGGAGCAGCTGCTGGGCTGGAGGGAAGTATGCTGGGCCAGGGCCAGGAAAAGCAACTCCAGAAGGCCCTGCCCCAGGGCCCTGTCTCTGCTCCCCTTAGGTTGGTGGGCCCCGGCCACAGGCTGCCGCTGGGAAGTAGTCGTTACTGAGCAATGAGGGAAGACGTCTGTCCCCAACTGGACAGAAAGGACGAGAGGAGCCCCACAGAAGTGCACCATCTTTATTCCTGGAGTCTGGGTCTTCAGCAGGGCCTGCTTCAGCGCTCACCTCTTGCCAGCTGCAGACGATGTGAGCAGTTGGGATGGGGCCCGCCTTGGCTTCTGCCCCCGTCCCACCCTTAGTCCCCAAGGAGTTACCTGGCAGTTTCAGCCACTTGGGCACCGGGCCCAGGTTTCTCTGCATAGACTGGTTTGGCTCTGGGGTGGACTCAGGGGGGCCCAGTGCGTCCTCAGTGGTCTGTTCACACTCTGTGGGCCCAGGATCAGGGGCCGGCAGTGAAGGGGGACCTGCTGTAGGCCTGGCCATGCACCTGCAGGGAGAGGTCAAAGGCCAGGATGCAGCTGCACAGGCCCCAGCACCTGCTGCCCAGTCCTGGCCTTACCTGGTCACCAGCATGTCAGCTGAGGATGGGGACATGGCATGCTCCAGCAGCCTGGGCTCCAGGTATACCTCTGAGGACACACATGATGACAGCCTTAGGCAGCAAGCCAGAGCAGCCCACCTGGCCTCAGGATTGAGGGGTCCCCGGGAGAGGCCCACAGGGGCGGCAGAGCAGTACTCACCTGTGGACTCCTCCGTGCCCAAGTGCACAAGGGCGGCTGGGAAGAGGTTCGCCTGGGGAGGGGCAGACTGGCTGAGCAAACCCTACTTCTGAGAGACCCAAATGGGGGCTGCACCCCAGAGGCAAACGCATCTCCACACACCCCCACAACCACCGAGTCATCAGTTATGTGGACTGGCAGCTTCTGACCCATCCTAGGAAGGGACAGGCCCGGGACACGGGGGACAGTGGCTCTGTAGATGCCAGTGCTCGGGCCTCCTGCTGTGCGAGCGGCCACCCAGGCCAGTAGGACGGTGTCCCTGCTGCTGTGCCCCCCGCCAGGGCTCTAGTGCAGATGGTACTTAAGGGACCACTAGGCTCAGAGGCCCCAAGTGCAATGGGATCCTCTTCCAGGACAGAGGACCCCCCCCCCAGCCAGGCTGTTCTGAGACTTCAAGCACCTGGTCACCGCCCAGTCCAGTTCTCTGACAGGTCTAAAGCCTGGGTCTCTCTACACTGCCTGGATTCTAGGTACCCCAGGTGTCCTGGGCACAGGTGTGGAAACAGTGCACCCTCATAGCCCTGGGCTGAGCGGGGAGCCCACTGTTTGCCTCACTGGATTTGAAGAATGAACAGTGAGGGGGTGCATCCCTGACAAGCAGAAGAGGGTTGGCTGGGGGCACCAGAAACCCCAGTGCTGCGGCCCATCCCCCAGTCAGGCAGTAACTGGTCAGAAGCAGTCAGTGTGCACTTAACCCCCTGTGGTTCCAGGGCTCCAGCAGTGGTGTGAACACATTCCCAGGCGGCCAGCCAGAGGGGCAGGAGTGGGGGTGCTAGGGGACAGGCCAGCCAGTTATTCAGAGCTTCAAAGGCTGGGGCAGCCAGGCCGGGAGGCTGAAATCCACTGGGGCCCGGATCAAAGGGCTAAGGCAGCAGCAGGGCAGGGCTGGGCCCAGGCCAGGGCGGGCAGGGAACCTGTGTGTAAGTTTCTGAGGGGCCCATCAGGGGACCGTCAGTTCCTGGAACCCCAGGGACAGGCCCCTTCTTGACCAGGCCTTTCAGAAAGTGCTGGCAGGGCTCAGCCCCTAGTTCACATCCTCCTGGGCACCCCAAGAGCCAGGCCACAGCCCCCACCTCCCCAGACCCAACAGCCCATCCAAGTCCACAGTAACCGCTCCAAGAAAGACAGCCCCAGAAGCACCCAGGAACCCGCTGCTCTCACAGCTCTACCCCACCCCAGGCAGGCCCTCTCGGCCTTCAGGAGCCCACTGCTTGACTGAGTGACCGAGTGTGGGCAGCTCACATCACTCAGTTCCAGATCCTCTGTCAGCGGTCCCCTTACACATCTCAATCCCAGGATACCCCAGCCAATGAGCAGCAAACAGCCTGAGCACAGAGAGCAGGCCTTGGGGGCAGGGAGTGTGTGTGTGTATGCAGTGAGGAACCACCCTCCTCGGGCCACAGACCCTTGCCCATCACCCTGAGGGAGGCAGGCCCTACCCGCTCTTCCTTGGTGGAGGGGGCGGGCCAGCCCATGCTGAGCTGTGGTAGGAGGGGCCCAAGTCCACGGTTACCAACAGGAGAGGGAGAGGGCAAGGTCCTGGGCCCAGGCTATGACGGGCACCTTCACCTGAGGGCTGTGCTGGGCAAGCCCCCTCACTCCCCGCTGCCCTCCAGTGCCCATGGCCACTTCGGAAGGCTAGGCTCTGTTATAAATTAGGAATCGGAGACTTTGAAGAAGAAACCATTAGTCCAAAGCAGTGGACAGCGGCTATCCTCCCACAGGCAGCCAGAGAGCAGGACATTCTAGACAAGGCCCAGCGGGCATCCAAGGCGGGGTGGGGGCGCTGCCTCCCCAGAAAGCCCCAGCACAGCTGTGAGCCTGCACCCAGGAGGAGGTGGGGAGCTTGTTCAAAAGCACTTCCAGGGTAGCCCCTGTTCTGTAGTGCTGTCCCGAGGGGCCCACCAACCCCCACCAGGCCTAGTCCCAGAGCGTAGCTTGCTGGCCGCACCTACATCCCTGCCCCAAGTATTTAGCAAGAACTCTGGGTACCTGAAAAAGGGTCAGTGTGTCGTCACCCAAGACGGTCTTTGGAGGAGCAATGACTGTGGGGAGAGAGGCCTGAGTCAGGGAATCCCTGGACCCATCCCGCTCCCACTGAGCGCTTGCAGGGTGGCCAGAGGTGAAGAGTGGGTACAGGATCCAGACCAGAGGGTGGTTTGGGCAGCAGATGGACAGGGCACACCACCTCCCCTCCTGAAGCCACCACAGGCCCTGGGGGAGAGGCCAGGCTGGCACACTTGAACACAGACAGCGTGGCATTTCCCATTCCTGTGCCTCCTGCATGTCCCCGGCCCAGGGTGAGCAGCTGGATACCCACTGGCCACTGTCTGGGAAATGACCTTTGGGCCGCCACCCCCAGCCTGTCCTGGTCACTTGGAGGAGCCAGGTGGCCAGCACCTGGGCACTCACACAGATAGAAGTCCAGCTCTGAATTTCCCAGGTGTCTCTTCACAAAGTCCCGCAGGTCCCCCACTGTGGAGAGGGGTGAGGGCTGGAGGTGTGCTGTCTGCCCACCACCTCCCACCCACCTGGGCAGTGTCTCAGCTAGGTATGTGCGCAGCAAAGCAGCCAGCCAGCAGCCCCTCTGAAGCCTGGGCGTGTGCCCACAGCCCTGTCCTGTCCTCCAGGACTCGAGGCCACTGCCAGCAGCCCAGGCCTGATGAAGCTCTCAGCAGGGCTAGAACAGTCTGCTCCACACCCCCCACCGAAGGCTGCCCTGGGCCCTCCACCCCCCACACCAGAGCCCAGCGCACACAGGGCAGGGCCCTCACCCGTCTCACTGGGCCGGAAGAAGCCTTGCAGGATGTAGCGGTCAGGGAACAGGACCCGCAGGGCCACCTGAGTTGGAACAGGCAGTGTCACAGGTTTGCCAGGACCGGGGGGTGGGGGGGGAGGCAGGGCATCTACGCTCATGCTGAGGCCAGCCCCGACCTCGGGTACACCCACAGTCCTGGGGGTGGGAAAGCAGAGTTCTCTGCTGAGAGACTCAGTGGATTTGAACTGCTGATCTTAAGCTCAGCAGTCAGGGATAAAGCATTTATGCCACACTGGACCTTAGTGGCGAGAAGGGCAGACAATGGGAAGTGGTCGACGTGCTTTTGCCAGCTGTCCCTGCAACACAGGAGCTCCTGACCTTGGGGTACCGCTCCAGCTTCTCCTTCATCTGAGCCTCTCGGTAGGACCTGGTGACCAGGGGTGCTTCTTCCAGGCGCTTTCTGGAGGACAGAGAAATGATTTGGAGCCCCAGCCAGGCGGAAGCCCAACCTGAGTGTCCACCCTTGAGAAATGCAGGCTGAGGACGGTGGGGAGGGCAGGCCAGATGGGGCCCTGGGCACCCACCGCTCACTCCTGAGCTGGGCCAGGCGTCGCCGCACGTCATCCACGGTCACCTCAAAGAACTCATCCGGCAGCTCCACAGGCCAGGCCTGCAGCGTGTCCTCCAGATCTGGGTGGTACACCACGGGGTCACGGTCCACGGGCTGCAGGGTCAGAGCATGGCTGACGGTGGGAACAGAGCTACCCAGGCTGTTGGCCAGGACCCATCTGAGTGTAGCCCCCACTCCCCACCTGCTTGGCCCAAGGGGTTGGAATGGTGGCCAAGTGGCCAGCCTGACCCAGTAGTGAGGGCCCCGAGACTCAGGAAGCTGTCTGCAGCCACAGGTCCCAGAGGCAAATGAACTCAGAACTCCACGTAAGACCAGCTCTGTGTTATGGAGCCACTGGGCCGCCACCTGCCCACTGCAGGAGTGTGGGAAGGGACAGTGGCACTCCCAACTGGCAGCAGCAGGAACAGAAATGACAAAGCAGGCTCTAGTGTGATCCAACCCAAGGGTCATTTCAAGAGGCAACTGAGGGGTTGTGGGGGCACCCAGGGTGCCCAATGCAAACAGCTCAGTATCTGCCCCATCCCCACACTGCCTCCTCCATTGCCAGGACCCCCAGACACTCTGCTCTGGAAGCTTCTTTCCCCTTCCACACAATACACAGCCTCCTGTACTAAAAGTCAGGCCTGCTCACCCAGACTCGTCAGTCAGTGAGTGGGCGACCAGAGCCCCCAGCGTCCAGTCACAGCATGCCCTGAAGCAGGCCCCATGGATCCCACACACGGCGGGGATCTCTCTCTCAGCTTTTCAGTTCAATCAGGGGCTCCACCCAGAAACCCCTGTAAGCCAGGTCACGGGGTGCTGTCCGGAAAGGGCAGCCCAGCAGGGCCCCAGGTGGTCGGCAGGGCCAGGCTGCATGGCCTGCTCAAAGCCACAAGCATCCCAGTTGCCACGGGCCGTCTGCACCAGAGCTTTTTATAACATGCTGGGCGCCAGGCTGCCCCCCATGGCCGCAGCCCTGCATTCCAGAGGTGCAGCAGACAGTCTGAGCCAGGCCACCGTGTCCACAGGCCAGGGGGACATCATGACCCAACAGTAGGTGTTCCTAAGGGACTACGAAGGTTTGGCCCCTAGGGGCTGTGAGACAGAGGTCCAGCCACCCAGTGCACCCCAGGTAAAGCCTAGACAGCATAGTAAGACAGCACACCACACTGTCCAGCATCCCCGCACCCCTGGCCACAGACCACTCAGCTGTTTCCAGGAAGCCAGTGCCTCACTGTTCAGGAAAACCAAGGGACAAAGTGTCCTCCAGGCCAGCCCTGTCCACTCCTGCCTGGACACCCTCTCCTGGAGAAACACGATTGTGCACACAGAAGCACGCACACACACACACACACACACAGGCATGCACATGTGCACAAGGGCCCACACACACACGTGCACACACGCACTCACACAGGCCTGAAGAGGACACACTTGTACACATAACACACATGTGCACACTCCTGTAACACAAACACTGCACACATGTGTGCAGAAACACAGACCTGTACACACATTCACAGCCATGCACACACGTTCATACAGGCACGCAGACATGGCCGCACACACACCTACACTGAGACACACCCAGAGAGGTGCATGCATGCAGACACACGGACCCTCCTATAGGCACAGGGAAGGGCAGACACGCACAGATACTCGTCATTGATGTGTTCTGCGAGTCAGAACGGACCCACGGCTGACCCTCCAGCGGGTTTGCAGCAGCAGTTTATCACGTGGGAGGAGACTGCCCATCCTTCTCCCACGGAGCTGCTCGCAGATTCGAACTGCGAGCCTTCGGGACTGCAGACATGTACACATGTACAGAAACATCCACTCACACAGACACACAGCATACAGACATCCACATGCACATACCACACACAGCAGGTACACTCAGACACGCTCTCCTCAATCACTTGGGACCCCTCGCCCCCCACTCTACACTCCAATTTTGTCTCCTGAGAATGGGCCTCAGTCTTGCTGTCACACAAGGACACAGCTGTGGCTGGCAGTTCCCGTCTCAGGACAGCCCAGCAGCTTTTCACCAGCAGCCCTTAGACCTCCACTCTCACGTGGCTGCCCAGTCCTGCTGACTCCAGCCTGGTGGACACTGGGGCTTTCTGCAAGCAGCCTCCCTTCTAACGAAGCCCCTCTGGTGTGCAGCTGAGTTTGAGAAGCTGTTTCCTACCAGCAAGACCACGCGAGGATACCTAGAACCCCACTTGTTCTGGCTGCCCTGTGGCCTCTGACCTCAAGGATGATACCAGAGGGGGCCAGCAAGGGGGTGGTGGGCAAAGGCCTGGGAGTTGTGTAGGACAAGCACCCACTAGTGACCACAGGGCCCAACAGCGGCATGCGGCAGACTCCTGCACCATCAGGCCAGTGGTCTCTGGGCCCTCAGCCCATCGGCTCCAGTGGCCACAACGTTTCAGCAGAGTCGGGCAGCCACACTTCCTTCTCCTGAGAGGAATTTTCCAGGACACCATGACACACAGGAGAAAAATGTCCAGAGCTGTGTGGAGGTGACCTCAGTGCACTCCGCGGGGGCTGGAGGGCTTCTGGCTCCCGCCCAATCGGGCTGGCTGTCCCCTGCCGTGGTTTTGGGAGGAAGATGTGTGTTGTCGCTCCAGGCACTGGATTTCAGTGAATCATGGTGGTGGTGCTGGGCCAAACCTCCAATGTTCTCCAGCTGAGAGGGAGGGGGCGATGCCCACTAGTCAACACTGCTGTTCCCGAAGCTGGGGCACTCGGAGACCCCCCAGGTATGCTGCTGAGGGCCACTTACTGAGACAGAACAAAGATCACAAGTCTCAACCTGGTCCTAAGCCCACAGGGGGACAGACTATGGACATGGAGGGGACAGACGAGGGTCAACACTAGACACAAGGGGACAGAGAAGGCCTAAGATGGAACACAAGAGGACAGAAAAAGGCCAGGAGCCTGGACAGATGGGGATGGACCAGGGCCAACCGTACACAAGAGGACAGGACAAGCGCCAGGCACAGGGGGATGGACCAGGGTTGAAGCCCCACGAGCCCCGTGCCCTCCTAGGTGGTCAGAAGGGGGCACCAGAGGAAGGGCGGCCCAACCGGACAGCAAGCACGAGGACACGGGCTGCTCGTGACCCTGAGGCACCCAGGACAGTGCGGCATGAGCCAAGGTCCAGACAAGAGGGCCTGGGCTGGCACCAGAGGCCTGCAAAACAGCCTCTTCTCCACACTGCAACCTCCCACCCTGCGTGGGCCCTGCACGGGCCTCGGGCCTCTGCTGCCACGCTGTCCCCACATCTCCTTTCCAGTCACTGTCCAATGGGGGCCAGCAGCACCACAGAACTGCATCATGTGCCCCGCTCCTCCTGACACCCCAAGGTGCCCGGCCTCCACCATGCCCCCAGACGCTCACCCCTGGCACCTCTGCTGCCCCTTGTGATCACCCTAGAAAGTGGGGGGCAGTAAGAATGAGACCAGGTGCAGGGGTTGAGGGGTCTTCCAACCTGGGAGCGACCTTCTTGTGCCTGAAAGGCCTTGAGGGAGAAGTACTGGCCTCAGAAGAGAAGCAAGGGGGCCACAGGGACTTCAAAGCACAGGCTGGGGGGTGCCGTGGGGGCCCGCCCGCTCAGCTCTGATCACAGCAAAACGACCTTCTAACATCAAAGGCAGAGCCGGGGGCTGCAGAGCCTGCCGCAGGCCCGCCCGCCCCCGCTCCCTTCCGACCCATTGAAGTCCAAACCACACAGAACGCTAATGGGGATCTTGGAAACTCCTCCTGATTGCTAAAGTGCACCTTTGAAGTTCCCCCAAAACGCTCTGCTTTGTTCCCTCCCAGGCCGAGAGGGACACAAAGCAGATGGCGTGTGGCCGGCAGCCCTTGGGGCGTGGCTAGGGGACCGGGCTTGCTCATAATCAATCAGCCGCACGCTCAGATCAAAGGCGGGCAGGCTCACGGTGTTGCCAGCCACCCCCTAAGCCCAGCCCTGGGGCCCGGACAGGCAGGCGAGCCTGTACAGCTGGAGGGGACACCCAGGGACAGTGGGGAGGGAAGGCGGGCAGGCCCAGGAGTTGTCAGCCTGCACAGGCAGCAGGTAGGGAAGTGGCGAGGTGTCTAGGTCTGCCTGTGTCCTGGGGACTGCCTCAAAGGTCTGGGCATGCTCAAGGCTAGGGTCCCTGAGACCAGAACGGGCGTCTGCAGCTCAGCAGTTGACCACAGACACACGGCCATCACAATGGGAATCCATCAAAGCAGGGGGGGGGGGGGGGGCAGGAAGGGATGAGAGCTGAGCAGAGGGGCAGGTCCCGTACTCAGGGTAGCCGGGCTAGATGTCCCCACTGCACTGGGGCTCCTTGAGGTGTGTGGGGGTATGTACCTGCTGGAGGACTCTTCTCTCCAGAGACTGTTCCAGACACAGCCCTAAAACAGTCACACCCTCAGTTACGTTGACAACTCCCTCCCCTAGAGCAGCTGGTGGTCCAGGCTGCTGTGAGCTGCACCCCGGGCCAGGCTCACTACGCCCCTGGGGCTCACAGACTGTGGCCAGGGCCTCGGAGCCCGCCATGGACTCTGTCTCCCACAGCCACTGCTCTTTGCAGGTTGGAGCTGACACAAAAGCCGAGAGCACGGGCGCCTGAGCAACAGGGTCTGAGGTCAACAGCACCGGGCAGATGCACACAGCTGCCACCCAGCCTCGTGCCAGCCCAAGGACGGGCTCTCGTGGTGCAGGCCACAGAGGGCTGCGCTGCTAACCGAGGACAGCGCCTCTGCCCTGTGCAAGCCTGCTGGCAGGTCAGCTGCTACTCGACAGCAATGAGAGTATTTCTGTCTTCCTTTATGAGCAGAAGTACCACGGTGTAGTCAGGAGTGCTCTGGGCTTCAGATCACACAGTCTGTGGTTCGGAGCCCACGTTCCACAGGAGAGGAAGAGGAGGAGGTTGGCTTCCAACTTTACACAACCTCGGAAATCCCCTGGTCCTTCCACTCTGTCCCCGCCGGAAGCAGAGACAGATGCGATGGGTGGGGTTTAGGCTCCAAGTCTTGTGATGACTTGAAGTCGCATGAAGGTGTGTGATCTGCTGCGTCGGGGGTTGGTGCTCATTTTGCAGGGGGATGTATCACATCCTTCAAGCGGCCTTCAGAGACGGAGGTGCCCCACTGCAGGATCCACCCCCCTGGGCTCTGAGCTGCAGCTCTCCAGAGCACCCCAATGATGATCTCTCCCTCACGTCCCCAGGGCCCCAACCGTAACATCTTCCCACACTGGGTGCCACGACATAGTCCCCAGCTGCTAAGGCTTCCAGGCCATTCCTGCTGGTTTTGCGGCCATGACATACCGACTCAGAGCCCTGCACTAAAGGGTACACAGGAGTCACCCACAATCAGGCAGCAAGAAACCAACGAGACAGGGCAGAGCCCTGGAGAGCGGCCGGCCAGGCCTCGGCCTCGGCACCAGTGTCCCTGATGCCAGGCAAAAGGCTCACTTCCTCCCTAAACCATATCCGCTGCCCGGCACCCCCCAGCACTGGCCACGGCCCGCACAGTGCTGTAAGCGGGCAGAGGCGCTCAGCCTCATTCTGGAGGAGTCCCGCAGCCCCTGCAGCACCAAGCCCACTAAGTGGGAGAAAGCAAGGCCATTCTAGAACATTCTGGAGAAGCCTGCAGAAATGCCTCACTAACGATGCTTCCAAGGCGTCTCCTCTAGGTCTCAGAGCATCGATACCACGCTGGTAAGTCATCCCAGTCTGCCCCCTACTCACTAAATCCTCAGGAAACCAGCCAAAAGTCCGCTATGACCCCCAGGGAAGTCCAAGAATCCTGCACTGCCCTGTGGGGCCCGGCCCTGTCTCCCCACAACCATGGAGATGGCCGTTAGGAATAAACTCACAGGCAGAAGGCTGGGGGGGGGGGCGGCGCTGGGAGGTCTTGTGGGAACTGGAGAGGCTGGGACAGGGGAGTCTCCTGGCCCCGCTGCCTGTAAAAGGCACCGGGAGGTGCCTGTAGTCCAGTGCCACTTCAGCCTGCCAGTGGCCCCTCAGGTCAGCATGCAGCTGGAGTGGAGTGGGGTGGGCGTGAGCCGGACCGGATGAGCAAAGCACTGCTGAGACATCAGCAGAGTGTGGTCCTGGGGCCCCCACAAAGGCCACAGTGTGAGCTGTGAACCCCACCCTGGTGCTGATGAGGGAAGGACCGTGCTGGGACTGTTATTCTAGGGCCTGGACAGAGGTCTGGATGGCCGCCGGCATGTCACCAGCCAGTGACAGCTCCCCACTGGAGGAGGAAGGCCCCAGAGAGGGCAATGTCTTTCCCACTTAGCGTCTTCCAACAGAGAGAGCATTCACGGCTCTCTCTCCTGCCACGGCCCCCAGCAGCCCTCAGCCCCCCAGCAGCAGGGGCTGGCTCGGGGTTCACCTAATGCTACCACAGCAAGGGTACTGGGCCAAGTCCGAAGGTAGACTCAGGGCTGTTGATGTCCCCATGGGAGAAGCAGCTTGAAACCCACCCTCTGACGTGCGGGGCGGGGGCTAATGCAGAGACAACCCAGGTGGGGCCACAGCCAGTGTGTATCAGGGTCCCTGTCTTCCTGAAAACCATCAATACACTGACAGCTGACCGATGCTGACCAGGCCTCGGGCTGAACAGGCCCTGAGCCCCCATATCCCTTACCTGCTCAAACTCTGGCAGGGACCCTGGACCAGGCTTTGACTTCTTTGGCTGGGAAGGGCCTCCAGGGCTGGAGGACTTGGGTGATTTGGCGAATGATGACATCATGGGGTGGGCAGGCCCAGAGGAGCCCCCCAGACGCTGGCCCCCACCAGAGAAGGGAACAAAGGCTGCTGGTGAAGACAACTTGGAATCCCACTGCACTGGAGGGCCTGTCGGTTCTGGGCCCCAGCCATCAGCAGATCTGGCCTCAGAGGGGCCTGCATGCTCCACACGGCTCAAGTCGCCTCTGCTGAGCCCTCCAGTGTCCAAAGGGAGCACAGAGTGGCCAGCGTCATGGTCAGCAGATACAGACAGTGTTGGGCTTCCTGGTCTTCTGCTCCGGGCTTCCGGCCTGGAGGCTGAGTCACTCAGCTTCACTACAAACCTGCAGGGTCAAGTCCAGACGGCAGGGACACGAGGGTCACGCCCACTCCTGGGACGGAGCCCCACGCCCACCACGGTCATCACTCAGGGCATCTTCTCTTTTCGCTGAAACTCATTTTTTTAAAATAAATTAAGTCTTAAACTCCAATCCCCCGCCCCGAAAGGTGTCCTCCTACTGACCTGATGATGGCGCTGCCTCCAGTGAGGCCCAGTGACTGCAGTGTCGTCCCCTGAAGGGCAGCCGTGCCCGCCACCTGGGGAGAGGCAGATGGACAAGTGGGCCCTGGGGCAGGCAGGGGCTCCGTCGGACCCCAAGGCTCTGGGGAGCCCAAAGCCAATCAGGCTGAGGGACCAATCCTGAAGCACATGATTCTGCACCTTCTGGCTTTTCTCCCAGCGCTGAGCCTGCCAGGAGGGGGTGACTTCCCCACCAGAGAGCTTGATAACCCCTCACGCGATAACCCCAACCCAGCAAGGCCTGCACTCACCCTCCTTCCTAACTCACAACACCCACATCAACCTGGTCACAGGACTCCCCCTGGCCGCCCACAGACCCTACCAAGTCACTCCACCACTCCTGGGAGAGACCCCCGGAGCCCCTACTCCCCATCTTCCCAGAGAACACTAATGGAGCCCCCACATTTCTAGGGGCTATCAATGGAGCCCTTACCCCCATCCTGTGGGGGACCCCACCAAAGCCTTCATTCTCCTGGACCACACCAATGGAGGCCCCATCCTCCCAGGGACATGAATGAAGCCCCCACCCCCCACGCTCACAGGATACCCCATTCTCCCCCTTCCTGAGCTCTCCTCTCCATCCCCCACCTTCTGTGGAGGCTATCACCAGAACCCCCAGTCTCTACCCCTCGAGTGAATACCCTCCAGGCCCTCCCAGTGCCCCCTGCCTGGGTCTAAGTGGTTTGCTTCAGCTGAGGACAGGAAATGGGGGTCCAGATGGGCTGTCCTCAAAGGCAAGGCAGCAAAACACAGGGTCCCAAGTCAGTGCCGGAAGGAGGCAGGACACAGCCTGGTCAGGGGGCGTGGTGGGGATGGAAACTGAGCAGAGGACAGTGCTGTCCGTACCAGGGTCCACTGGCCTCTTACAGACAGTGTCCACTCTGGGTGGGGGGGGGGAAGCTCACTGAATGGGGACCACCTTGACTGGGAAAGGTGTTCAGACCGGGAGGGGGCACCCCAACTGGAGAGCAGATCCCTAGTTGCAAGGGGGTCACCTGGGCTTAGGGAAATACCCTGGCTGGGGAGGTACAGAGGGCACCTGGCTGGAGGTGGGGCATCTGGGCTTGAGGGGAGCAGCCTAGATGTGGGGAGGCACCCTGCCAGAGCGAAGACAAAAAGCCACTGTGAAGCCAGGGACTCCAGCAGGGCCAGGCAGGGGCAGTGGGGCCTCAGTGCCAGGGCTGCACCCCTCCACCTCACCCCACCCCACTCTCAGTTTTGAAAAAGATCAAAACCCAGAGCAAAGCAAATATTTACTAAAATGAAACCACTTTTGTGACTCCTGGGCCTCGAGAGGAGCTGGAAAAACAAGCTGGGTGTTGAGGGAGGTGGGCTGGGGGCAGGCTGCACTCTCCCGTCAAAGGCAGCTTCAGCACGCTGGGAGCAGGTCCGGGTGGGATGGGGAGCTGAGAGTGGGCGCTCAACCTACCTCGTCCCTCATGTACACACAGACAGGAGTCGCCTCACCCAGCTGCTCCAAGCATGTCCTGAGAGAAGACAGGACATCAGGCTGGATACTGGGGCCACACCAAAGGACAGAAGTCCCTGCCTCCCACAGCCCAATATCCAAGCTAGCCACTGAGGACTGAGATGCCCAGCCTTCCACACATGGCCAGAGACATGCCCACTGAGGCTGGTATTGCTGGGGAGAAATGAGTCCTTAGAGAGGCTGTGGGATGAAGCTCGAAGCTGGGCGGTGGTCTCAGCTATTATGGGCTGCCACAGGCACTCAGCAGGGGACTGTCCTGGACCCGTGACACCAGCTTCTCCTGGAGGCCTGCCCTCGCTGAGTCCAGCCCCACAACCCCAGATCCACCCTGGGCTCCGAGCCACACCTAGTCATCTCCCTATACAGACCCTGTAGGGCCCTGAGCCAGGGCACCATGGAAACTTCCACATCTGTCAGGTAATGCAAAGATGGGTTCAGCTACAGCCTCTCTGGGCCATCTGCACCCCCTCGGCCTGCAGGGCTGTGCGGTCCTCGAGGGGCGCTGGCAGCAGGCTGTCACCCACCAGCTGGGAGCTGAAGCCCACAGCTGGCCAAGAGACTGTGTGATCCCACTCCACCTCAGGCCAAGGAGTAAGGCTCTGCCGAAGGCCGCCTCCAGGGACGGCCAGGCATCAGGGCCGTGCTCCACAAGGGCCACAGAGAGAGAGGCACCTCTTCGGTGAAGTGAGGCTGGGCACAGTATGGACAGCACGATGTGGTCCAGCCACACATCACCAAAGCTGCCAACTAACACAGGATAAACAGACACATACGGTCCATTCATGCATCACTGAAGGTTACTAGCGACAGAGAGTGAACACACATGATGTGGTCCATCTGTAAAATGTCACAGAAATCACGACCAATGGCTGATAAAAACATACACAACACGATGCAGCCATGTACACCATATCCTCAACTAAGGGTAGATAACCGCCGTGGCCCATCCATCCAAGCACAGCAAAGAGTGGAACGCCAACACACTGACAAGGGACTGACAAGGGCACACTCTACACCAACAAGGGACACTGAGACGAGAGAGGAAGATGTCAAAACGAGAGGCCACAATTTACATGTCATGTCCAGAAGAAGCAAATCGACAGAACAGAGCAGTGGGGTAGTGGGTCTTCTGACAAGCACGCTGCCACCAGGGTCAGACAACAGTGCCCATGGCAGACTCACCACTCCTGAATCACACACCCAAACGGGCCTGAAGTAGTAAATCTCACGCTGCACAGACTTCACCACAACTTGAAACACTGTTAACAGTGATGGACCTCAGGCAGAAGGACCTACTGTCCAGGAGGATACAGGCTGGCCTGCTTCTCCACCAGGAAGCCTGTCTTCAGAGGCTCAGATACCACAGCCCTGTAGGAATGTGCCCCAGGGCAGACAGAGGAGAGAGGAACTCAGCTTCTCTCCAGCACAGCACTGTGCTCAGCACCTGGTCCCCCAGGGGGTACCCTCGGCTCCCAGGAAAACAAAAACACTGGTGAGGCACCCTGGGCCCAGGTGTTCAGCTGAGGAAGGTCTAACAGTAGCACTCACCCCATGGCTGGTTAGAGAGGAGATGAGGACTGGGTACAGAACACACCGCATCAGAAGCTCTGACCAGTACAAGGTCTATGGGCAATTCTCTCCCCGAGCGTGTGTTCAAGTGCCATCCTGGGTGAACGTGAGCGCACCAGTCCTCTCCCCACCATGCTGCCGCAACGTGACCACCAGAGAACTTACGACAGCTGTGTGTCCTGTGGGAGCCCTGCTCCCAGCTGCTCCCAATACCAGAGCAGAAGCAAACAGCCCACATGACCCCACACGAACAAGCCATCACCACTGGACAGCATGGCGGGGCCACCAGCTAGGTGCCAATCACTGAGTTGACGCCGACTTAGCGGCCCGACGTGCCCCAGAACGGGTCCTGCCCCAGCCCACACCCGTCTCACGGTATCGCTGAGCTCTGGCCACGTCAGTCCACCCCCCTCGCCAAGCCTCTACTCTCCGAGCACTGAGTCTCATTCCCTCCGACACGTCTGAGCGAGCCAATCTCACTAACCTCACTCCTAAGGGCACTCTGGCTACACAGTGGCTTTCTTCTCGAACACCACACCAGCAGTGACCATGTTCTCAAGGCTGTGTGCCTCTCCCCTCCGTGCACACTCCAGCTGCCGAGTGCATGCACCTATCACTCCACGTGGACTCGTGCTTCCAGAAAGCACCAAGGGGGGAATGGCCAGCGAACCGCTCACATACAGCTGCCTCCTCCCGTTAACCTGGGGCCACAGCAGCCGAGACCGGTGGGGTCCCACGGAGCTGATCCGAGCCCCCGGCCCTCTTACCCTGTGGTAATCCAAAGATCTGCCTACCTCGAACGCTGATCCTGACAGTGACAGCAGAGGTGTGACCTGCCCAGCTCTGCTGGGTTCAGGTCACGCCCTGCACGGGGGATGAGCCAGTCACAAAAGCAACCACAGGAACATGTAATGACACACAGGTGACGGCCACTATCGACAGGAGCAGCACAGGACGCAGGACAGAGCTCCAAGGCAGTCTGCATGCACAGCCCCAACCAGGAGAGCATTTACACCCCATGTGGCTGTTCAAGCCCAGGAACCTCAGGGGCCAGCCCTCAACCCCCACTGCTCCCTGACTCCATCAGAGGCCACCTGGGTCCCCGGCGGGGAACTGAGTATGGGTTCCTCGGCAGGAAAGGGGGCTGCCAGAGCAGCTAGTGACAAGGTAGCCCCCACCGTGTCCCCTCCACACAGGACACAAAGCATGAGAGGGCTGGGCCTGAGCACAGTGCAGTATCAGGCCCCAGGCGGCCCCAGCCCGGCCTCCAGTCGTGCACCTGGTCCGAGGGAAGTGGCTGAGAAGCTCCCAGAGTGTCTGGCCTGCGCAGAAGGCGTCCTGCAGCCGGGTGCCGTCGTCCATCTGCACTGCAATGCGAACCTGTGGCGGAAGTGCAATGAATGTCACGGGAAGCCGACTGTGCCGGACTGACCGGGAGGCCCTGCAGTCGGCACTCTGCGCCCTATCCACAGGTGAGAGCCCTGCCAGGAGCTCGTGGGGACCCAGAGCAGGGCTCCCAAGGATGAGAACACTGAACGCTGGGCGTGTGCGTGTCCGTGTGCGTCTGTGGATGCACTCATGTGCACGCCCACGTGTGCCCAAGTGCATGCATGTGCATTTACACAGGCTCCAACAGCTGGTTCTCTTCTTTCCAAAGCTCCCCTAGCTGGCATTGAACCTGGAGCCCACAGGCGCACAGCGGAGTACCTTCACTAGGACCCAAGGACGCTGCACCACCCGACGGCCCATGAGACAACCCCTTCCTCCCAGAGATCCAGCCACGCTGTTTCGGTCAAACGGTCTCGGCCTCTTACACAGACATAGCTCCACACCTGGGCGGGCGGTCTCTAAGGCCAGGGGCCAGCTCCAGGCTTCAGGACCCGAGGGCACAGCAGTCCACAGCCCACCGCAGTCCAAACAGCCCCCAAAAAGCCAAGGAAACACAGCAGTGCCCCCACCTACCATGTTTCCCAAGCCCTCTCGGCTGCGGGAGGCAGGCACCATCTCGAGCTTGGCGTTGTTGGGTAGGTTGGCGAACCTCCACTGGAGGGAGAGGTCCAGCACACTCCTCTGAAACCTGCAAAGCAGACCACGATGTGTCAGCCACGGAAAGTCACCAGAGCACGTGCCACCCACAGTGCCTGGCGTGGTCCAGAGCAGTGCCCACCAGGCACCACCCACCTGCCCCACCCCCACGGTCACTCCAGGGCTATGACACCTGAGAGGGAGGCAGCACTGAGTGCTGCAGGGACAAAGGCGACCCAAGGACACTGGTCACAGGGAGGAAGGGAAATACGACCAGATCCTCCGACGAGGGGCAGATGGAGATGTGGGAGAGGAAAAGGACCAGCCTGGTCCCCCCAAGGTGACAGGAGCAGGGCCCAGCCAGGCTCAGTTCTGCCCTAAACACACCTGTATACCAGCATCAGAGTCCGGTCAGACCCAGACCAAACGCCATTGTATCCGCTTCCTGCCCTTCAGAGCCATGATTCAAAAGCAAGCAAGATGTTCCAGAAAAATCCAGCCAATCACGATGGCCAGGGCTGGGATATACCAGCATTCTTGCAGGAAAAAAAATCTCCTCTAGCCCAGAGCAGCAGTTTCACCCACCAAGCCAGGCCACGTGCACTGAGAAACACCCCCAGGCCCAGTCTCAGAAGATGAGGTCAGTGCACTTCCCACAGAGAGGAGGAGGCCAGCACACCTCCAGCACGTAAACTAGAGCTCAGCAAGGAAACCCGGAGAAAGCAACAGACACACTCACCGCACCACGGCCCTGCACCACGGGCCCCGCACCCAAGAGCACTGCACCACGGGCCCCGCACCCAAGAACACTGCACCAAAGGCCCTGCACCACGGGGCCCGCACCCAAGAACACTGCACCACGGGTCCTGCACCCAAGAACACTGCACCATGGGCCCCGCACCACGGACACCCAAGAGCACCGCACCACGGGTACCACACCACAGGCCCCGCACCCAAGCACCTCCACACCCAGGGCACACCTCATCACCTGAGCAGTGCGCCCTCCACCCATCAGCCCTACAGAACCATGACCTCATGTCCCATGTGCACTCAAGGGAGCACAGCCCTCAACCCCACAGAGCCCTGACCTCACACCCCTTGGAGCTCCCCAACGGACTCAGAGCCTCATGTCCCTCTGATCTCACACCCTTACTCCCTCCTGGAGCTCTGTGATTCCTTACTTGCCAACTTCCCATTGTCGAGCCCCTCCTGACCCTCAAGGCCTCCTGATCTCACACTCCCTCATCTTGTAGTCCCTGCCTCTCTAATCGCACACCCTACTCAAGGACCCCGTGAGCTCTCACGTACCACCCATCTAATCTCACCCTCCCCTGGATTCCCCTGCACCCCTCAGGGCTCTAGAAGAACAAGGCCTACTGTCCTTGACCCCCTGGCTTGGATTTCAGGAAACCTACTGTATGTACCCTGATTTTAAGGGACAAGAGTGGCGGGCAGGAGAAAGCCCAGGAAAAGCAAACTGGAACTCCTCGCTCTGTCACCCAAAAACCACACACTCCATGTTTTTCTTTTGATGAAAGTCTGGAAGACCAGCACAAAGACCGTGTGGAAACTCAACGTGTGCGAAGTGTCCGGCAATCCCACAGTGCCCACACTGTCCCAACAACAGACGCTTTCTCTGAATCACAGACAGATCCTAGCAGCTGAGGGTTTGCACTCCAAGACATCCACAGGTGCCTGAGAGCAAGCTGGGGACAGCAAGTCCACAGAGCCAGAGAGGAGGGGACAGGGACCATCACATGCGCACTTAGCCACCACAGTAGCATCTGACAAACACATCACACAGCTGGCAGTCAAAAGAGAAACTCAACAGAATTTCTTTCCCATGGGCTCTGTAGGCTCTGCCACGTGACGTGTCCTGTCATTGCCACTAGAGAAGCTCAGCCCAGTGGCTGGCTCAACTCACAAGTCCAGGGGCTGCTGGGGCAAACCTGGCTGAGCATGTGAGGCTCTGGAGGTGCAGCCAGGAAAAGCAGGATGCTTTGTCTTCCACCCAGAACTCTGTCCAGAGATCCCTCCCCAAAGCCCCTCCCTGGAGACCCCAGAGACCACTCCCTGAACATGCTCCCCCAGAGACCCCTCTCCAGTGAACCTTCCTCAGAGCACCTCGCCCCAACAACCTGAGGTAAGGCAGTACACTAGCAAAAACCCTCAAATACCAACACCCAAGGACTCAAAAACACACAATCTCTCTCTCACACGTAAACATTCACATGCCCAGTATACTGGACCCTCTGGCAAGGTCAAGACCAGGTATACCCCCTTTGCCCAGGCTCCCCAGGCCAGGAACAAGGACAGCACAGAATAAGTGCTCAGTAAAGAGAACAGTGTAGGATGAGCAAAGTCTGTTACTCAGCCCTCTTAGAGACCTGAGTGGCCTGTCCCAGGTGCTGGCCACTCACTTCAGGTCATATTCATTGGGGTCGAAGTCCTGCCTCCGGCACGTGTCCTCCAGGACCTGGTACAAGAGGAAAAGCCATGAGGGTAGGGGCCAGTCCACTCCACTCTCGGAGGTCAGTCCCTAGGCCACAGCACCTCGGCCATCACTCTTTCTCACTGAGGCTCTGAAATCACCCCCAGTTCTGCCGTGACGCACACTCAGGGACTCTCCCTAAAGCCATAACCCCCCCCCCCATGAACTCAGACTCCAGACGGCCTTGGCCACATGCTGCCCGCACAGCTGCCGGCCTGTCCCTCCCCCCCAGCCAGGGCCTTCTCTGCTACGGAAGAACCCTCACCTCTGATGCAGATACACACCCCAACTTGAGATGCCTTTGTCTTTTTACAGGCTTCTCCCCACTGTCCCCGCTGGGGGCCCCAGATTGTCACAGGGGAGGACAGTTTTAAACGTGAGTTGGGGGTCACCATTCATCCGATTTTGGCAAAATAGTTGTGAATGATCCATCAAAAGTCGTTTCCACGTGCAAAGGACAGTGAACTCTGCAGTGAGGCAAACGTGCCTACCAAGGCAGGCAGTCGTCCCTAGCACAGACGGGGGCTGGGCGGTCTGGGGGCTTCACTCTTCCCGGTGCCTTCAGAGGCTGGGAGACGCAGAGCGACAGGAGGGGCTACACGCCCTCTGAGGGCGGCGCGGCAGTCCACCCAGGGGCACTGTCCCCTCCCGAGGGCACTGTCCCCTCCCGGGCACCTAGGGACCCCGCGGAAGCCCCCCGGCCGCGGAGCGCGCCGGCCCACTGAGCCGGGCCTGCCCATTGGTCACCGCAGGCCCCGCCCCGCGCCCCTCCCGCCAACCCGCCCCGCCCCCGCCAACCGCAGAGGGGGGCCCCGGCCGGGCTCTGTCCGCGCGGCGTCCGTGGTCTGTCCGCCCGCTCGGCCCGGCCCGCGACGCACCTGCATCAACACGGTGCTCGGCGTCACCTTCACCGTGTGGCGCCGCCCGTTCGGGGCCAGCACCGACACCGCGGAGCCCCCGCCGCCGGCCGAGGACGCCATCTTCCGCTCACGTGACTCGCCGCGCCGGCTCTGGCGGCTCTCGGCGCCGCGGAGGCGGGCCCGGGGGCGTGGTCAGCGCTCACTTCCGCCGGCTCAGACCCCGCCCCCGCCGTCGGTGGCGGCCGCCGGAAGCTACTCGCTGGCCGCTGGCCGTCCCGGGGCGGCCGCCTGCCTCCGCCCATCGGCGCCCGGCCGTGCCCAGACCTCGGGCGGGAGGACGGAGAACGACGCGCGGTCCCTGCCCCAGCCTGACCCCTGGCTTCCAGAACCCCGGCCTGGACCCTGCTGCGCCCCTGCCCTCCACTGTGCGTCCCTTTACACGCCAGCCTTGGCCCAAGCCCCCTGCCCTCTGCCCTCCGTGGTCAGTCCTTGCTGTGTCTGTCCACATCGCCCTCTGCAGTCATCGCGATGGCTGGGTCCCTCTCAGTTTCGCGCCTCCTCTGTCTCCCAAGAGCCCATCTGGCGGTCACCGCCCAGAGAGGAGCAGCCAGGACAGTCGCTGACATCCCCAGGAGTTTATGTAGACGACACAGCCTGACCCAAACGGGGAGCCTGAAGCATCTGCTGCAGAGGGTCAAGGACTGTAGTCTGCAATAGGAAAACAAAGATTCTCACCACTGGGCCAATTTGTAGCATCATGGTAGATGGAGAAGAGACTGAGCTGGTTAACAATTTCAGCTTGCTGGACTCCACAATCAACACTCTGCCACCAACACTGAAGAAAACAAAAGATGAATTGCATTAGGAAAATCTGCTGTCAGGGACCTCTCCAGAGTTCTTAAGAGCAGCAGTGTCAGTCTAGAGACAAAGGTGTGTCTGATCCAGGCCACGGTCTTTCTTTGATTTGTTTTTTTATTAATTTTTTATTTCAATTGTGATTTTAATGACAGTTTACAGAAAAGTTATTAATAGTATTTTTTGAAATATTTTTATGAAAAAATATTTTCATTCATTGTTGCACATTTACCCCTTCTCTTCCCTCTCCCCAGTTCACTTTTTTTTTTTTAATTTTTTTTTTTGTGTGTGTGTGTACTGTCAAATCAGATCTGACTGGTACAGGAGGAGATTGCCCCTCCTTCCCCGGCAGAGCATCTGGTGGAGCAGAGCATCTGGTGGATTCGAACTGTGCACCTCTGGGATTGTAGTTGCAGCTTCTTGCCACTAGGCCACCAGAGCTCCCCCAGTTCACTTTTAAAAAAAAAAAATTTGTTCCTTGTTAAGATGAAAGCCATTTGACCAGCTGAAACCCAGACATGCTGTGTGCCACTTTCAGAAGTCAAGCCAAGCACTGCCAACCTGCTGAATGCTCCCCAACAGGCTAGTGGCCTGTACCTGTTCTCACCCTGACTTCGCAGCACTTGGGAGAAGAGATGGTGCAGAACTGTGCGGAGGTCAGACAGGAGAATGAACGGTGTTAATTAGTCACACGAGAGCAAGAAAGCCCGTACATCAAGGATGGGAAGGGGAGATGTATAAAGATTAGAGGGGGGAAAGGCAGAGAATTGATCCTTCAGCCAAAGTCAGGCCATGGTCTTTGTAATTACTTGCCATACATCATAGAGCTGGACAACGACCAAGGATGACAAAAGAAGAATCAATGCTTTTGAGTTGTGCTTGAGAAGAGTATTGAACATACCATGACCTGGCAAGAAAACAAACAGGTCTGTCCTTGAGAGGGTGAAACCAAGCTGCTCCTTGAGGCAAGTATTTTGAGACTCCATACCGCATACTTTGGGCATTTAGTCAGGAGGGACCAGTCTTTGGAGAAGAATCACAAGCTTGGAAGGGTTGAGGGACAGTCGAGGAGATGGATTGACATAATAACTGGGGTCATGAAGGTAGATGTGTCAGAGATAGTGAGATTGGCTCAGGACAGGATTCAGAGCTGTTGTACACAGAGTCACTATGAGTCATAATTGACTCGGTGGCACATAACAACCACCACCAGTCCTTCCTACCCCCTGTGCCAACTTGCCAACCTCCCCTGCAGCATACCCTCCTGTTCATGGGCTTATCCCAGACTCCTTTTTCCCGCTCATGACTCCCTCTGCAGAAGAGGATCTCACCAACCCCCTTCCAGAGAACATGGGTCTGTTTCCCTCTTAGCAAGCATCCCAGCCTCACCCCCTTCTAGGTGGTGTGCTTGTCCGACTACCTGCAAATGCGCTTCATGTCGACGGATGTATATATCTCCTCTCTAGTAAGCTTTGAGCTCCATAATGCCCCATGCCATGTTCACCTGCCTGTGACCAGGTACACAGAGCACAGCGCAAGGGACCTTGCCTCATGCTGACCCCATCCTCCCCTTGTCGTTAATCTCTGGGCCAACTTCTCACAAAACCAACCCTCCTAGAAGGTACACAGGCCCTGGCTCCCCTTTCTTGGGACACCCAGCCCCCTCTGCCGGGCCTGGCTGTACTCTGCTGGCCCTCTGCTCTGCTCTCACCGTTAGGCACCAGCTCACCCTGGATGCCCCTTACGTACCAACACCACACCTCAGTGATGGCAGGGAATTTGATGGGCCATCTGACTGGTGGCTGTGCCCTCCTTCCCCCTGCAAAGTCTGTTTTCAAACATGGTCACTTTTCAAGGCTCCTGGTGGGAACACTAACCCACCACCACAGATCCTACCCTCACCTGCCTTTCCCCGCTGTGGCAGCTCCTGTCAGTTCACACCTGCTCAGTGGGGCTGGCTGCTGAAGCAGGGGTCAGACATCTTTGGGGCATTTCTGGGTGCCACCGCCCAGCCTCCTCCAGTCCTACTTTTCAGTTGATCAGGGCCACACAGTCTAAATGTCAAGCAGTTGACTTTGGGCCACTGGCCCCCTTGCTCCCCAAATATCACCAACCATCATCTCACCACATCACCTTGTAGTGTCCTCCTAGCTTCATCTCTACCATGTCCATCACGTGTTAGGCAGGCCCCTGGCCGTCAGCACACCACCTCTTGGTGTGAGGAAGCCCAGCACCACCTTCTGTGCTCCCAAGCTCCCCTGCCTGGGTCTCCATTCCTCCCTGGGGGCCCAGGGTAGTGGACACCGCCTCCCAGGCCAGGCTTACCATCCTCAGTGGCCTGTGCCACAACAGAAATGATAGAGATCCAGTTTTATACCATGATCTGCATCTTTCCAAAGGTAATTTTACAACATTTTAGTAAATGAAGAAAATGTGAAGCTGAGCTTTATTTTCATCTATGAGAAAGGGTGAAAATTGTCACTAGTGTTGAGCATTTGTGTTGGGCTGTTAGAAAGATACAGCGCTCACGGCAGCCCGACTCCTTCGTCCACACTGAGCGTGAAGCTTGCTCTCCTGAGCTGATGCCCACCTCCAGAAGCTGTGTGTTAGCACGGCATTTCTGCTGTCTCTGCATGTCCGTGTTAGTTTAGGTTGTATGTGTATTTGGTACAAAGTAGAAACGCTCAAAAGAACTTTCCATGTGAATGAATAGTAATTGTGTCTGCTTTACAACAGTTTGGGTTACAAAAGGTTTAATAGGACTTCTGTATTTTTGGGTAGTGGGAGAAGCCTGTGTCTTTAAAACCGACCGGAGCTCTAATGACAGCAGCTTCATTGATAATGGCCCCAAACTGCCAGCGACTCGATGGCCTTCAGCAGATGAGGGGTTAAACCAACTGTCTCTTGGACTACTGCTCAGCAACCGCCAGAAATGGAGAACTGACGCTGACAGCAACGTGGGGGCTCCCCAGAGACTGACAAGAGGCCAGCCGGTCTCACCTCACCCATGTGCATCAGATTCTTTAAAAAAAAATAAAATGTGATTTTAGTGAACAATTACAGAGAAGTTAGATTTTTTAAAATTTTATTTTTATTTTATTGGGGTTTTTGTGTGTGTGTACAGTCAAATCGAATCTGACTGGCACAGGAGGAGATTGTCCCTCCCACTTTTTTTTTCTACTATTCATTCATTCATTGTTGCACAATTACCTCCCTCCCTCCTCCCCCGAGTCCTCTTTGCAATGATGCACCTCTTATACTGGTCTGTTGTTAGACATATATTCCTTTATTTTATTATTTTGTTGTGTGTGTACCGTCAAATCAGATCTGACTGGTACAGGAGGAGATTGTCTCTCCTCCATCAGAGCATCTACTGGATTTGAACAGCGTACCTCTGGGATTGCAGTGCAGCTTCTTGCCACAAGGCCACCAGAGCTCCCTCATATATCCCTTTTAAATAGTTCTTTCCTTCATCTGTTCCAATGCAATGGTCCTTATCTATCCACTCTTATTCTTGAAATGACAACATCCTAGAAATGGAAAACAAGATTAGGTGCGGCCATGGCTTAGAGAAGGCAGTCTGGTGGCACTGTGGGATAAGCACTTGGCTGTGCTTCACACCCAGGTCTGTGGTTCTGCAGGAGAAAGGTGTGGTCGTCTGTATTCCTGAAAAGACGGAGGCCTGGGAACCTGCCGGAGGGGAGAGTCAGTGTGAACGTGAGGGGTGGGCTGAGGAGACACAAGGCGCCCAGGGACACCCCCAAGCCTTGTGTTCCCACCACTGTACAAGACGATGACTGACAGGCCAGAGATGGAGCCCAGGGCTTATTACAGGAGGAGAGGGGGCACTGAGCCGCTGTCCAGTGCCGAGTGTGGGCGGATGGACCTAGGTGTGCACAGTGCTGGGCAGCGGGCTGTTCTGTAGGCACTGCAAATGCACCAGAGAGACCACATCTCAGCCGTGGCCTGCGTGCTGGTGGTCCTAACAGGACTTCAGCCACATCTTACAGGTTAAAGGCCCCACCTCAATCCCATCTCTCCTCAAGGAGGAGCCTACAGGTTGTTCCCTGCCCCCCCCCAGGCTCTCAGTCCAGCCCACTGAGTCCTAACTGGCTCAAACCCAACTCTCCTACCACAGAGTACTGGTGACTTTTCATCCCAAGGTGACTAGAAAGCAGACCCTTGTTGGCCCCCAGAGGCCGGCTGCACACTGGCCTCCTGCTAGGCCTCCAAGCGCCCCCCAACCCTGTCCTCCAGTGTCTCAC